ATCCTCAACATCGCCCGCACAGCGATATGCTACTTCAGCATTACGCTAAGCGGAGCTCCGATCACGGAGGACCTCGTCCACAAGGCCTCGAAGAGCATCACGAGCCACCGGACGGCGGTTGACCGCTCGTCACCGCCCACCACCGGCTCTTCTCGATGAGAACGGTGACGTCCTCTGTCACGTGGAACGTCTAGTGAGATGATGTCGTCACCAGGGTCAAACCCAATATCTGGTGGAGTGGTTGGGATATCCCGACTACAAAAACTCGTGGGAGTTTGAGACGCCACTTCGGCAAGATTGCCCAGACGCCGTGGGCGCCCATTGATCAGAAAGATCAGGACGCCCCGCGCTTATCGGCAATACCCAGCGAAGTAGAAGGGCCATGAGCTGAGCTCAAGCAGTGGCCCTGAGCTCTTGCGATCGCAGACTTAGAGCTCGCGGGAGCGTTAGGGGTTGACCCATACATCGCAGGGCGACAATTCGAAGGAAGTCGACGGCGTGCCTTGAGTTTGGCAAACTCAAGTCGGAGGTGTCGCTCCCCACGCACGTTCACATCCTTGTGGCTCAACCGTAAGTTATACAGTGAGGAAAGTTTCCGGTGCCGTCGTATCCATCGCTCAAAGAGCGCTCCGTCATCTTTAGCGGTTTCGTCCAGGGGTGAGCACTACAAGTAAAGTCCGCATCGTGGGCACACGAGAGCCACCTCGTTGAGCACTCAGACGAGTGCGCTAAGTTTCCAGCGCAATTTCTTGTGGGATCAAGAAACGTGCGCGAAGAGCTTTCCGTGTGGCAATTTCATCATCCGTTCTGGCCGGGGCCCGTTGATGTAGAGGCGTATCGGTCGAGCTACCGCGTCCTTCGCATCCACAGCGGGATCCGCCGGGCGGAAGCAATATTCCACACGAGGATAAATGACCGGCCGTGGTTGGGCGCGCATCAGAACCGCCTTACAGACAGCTTCCAGCTGCCGCCTCTGTGCCCCGTCGAGATCATTGGTGATTACATCACGTTCCTCAGGTGACGAAAAGTCAGGAAACGGACATGTGGTCCGC